TCCGCTTCGGCACAGGAGCACATAGAGCACAAGGCTTCTGTGTCCAGCCAAGCACAAGTCCCTGGGCACAGGCTGGGGACAAAGCACGTACCTCATGGCCAAGGGCTCCACCTCTACCTCCAGAAAGCCACAGAAGGAGAAGGCAGAGTTCAAAGGCCCGTCTGTAATCATGTGTTTGCAAGCAGCCTGATGTTCTCACCTGACCTACTTGCAACAAGGACGGTTGTTCGGGGCGCACAGCAGCTCTTTGGATGCCCTTCCCAGCGAGCGCGATGCCACCCATGTTTCTGCAGCATGCCCTCACATTCCATAGCATGGAATTAGAGGATCCAGATCCTGAAACAGCAGCCGCAGAATGCAAAGTAAATGTAACCCTCCTCTCCCCCCAAAAACCCCAAATTGTGATTTTTATGAACATTTTGCATTGGTTTATGATGGCTACCAAAGCCATGAAGCAGCAGAGGAACCTCAGGGTCACACACAGAGTGGCAAAAGCAGCTCTCGGGGCAGAGAGCTGTGGGGTGTCACACTGCACAGGGAGCTATGAAGAAGGACAAGATAAACCGGTTACATGTGGGCATAGTTAGGGGACATTTATTCTGATTTAACGAGTGCCAGGCTGTGGTGGAAAGATGAGGCTGTCCTGGCCTGGGATCAGCAACCCTTCAAGGGTGCTGCTTCCAACTCTTGTTTTTCTACCCCAGATCAGGAAAGTCCTGGAAGCAACTGGGCAGTGGTGAAGATGCTCGTGCCGCCGGTCGCTAATAGCGTGCTCCTGCCTGAGACCTTGGCACGAGGTTCCCCATTCCGATGCTCCTGAAGGACCTTGGATGGCCTCGCCGCAGGCTGCTGGAGCCAGGGCACAGGGCGCGTGAAGCAGAGCTGCGGTCACGGTAGGTGTGAACACACCTCGTGGGAGCCTCTGCGAGTCATTTATTACAAATACAGGGCAAAAATCCCATTAAGACGCAGGACTGATGGACTCAATGATCTTGAACATCTTTTCCAACCATAATGATTCCATGACTGTTCCACCCGTACATCGAGATTTTAATAGCTCCTCTCCCAGCAGGCAACTTATATTGGGACTTCTGCGTGGAATTTCCTTGCAGGCTTTGTTCTATGGTACTAAGAAAGGAGAGACTCCATCGTGCTTAGAGTGATTCAACTCGGCCTTAGTTTAAATATAGTAGTGGTGTCAAGAAGGTTCACGTTGGAGGGGCCTCTCCCTGCCCCGTTGTGTTGTGCTAATTTACTAAGTCTCGTTTCCAGAACACTCCGCTGCTCCTGTAGCGTTTCCCAGGCTGATGCCAGTGCCTCCCTCTGCTGGGAGCAGGACGCCAAGCCCGACTTGTCCCCGGCTGCACATGCAGCCCGTGGGACACGGCCAAATGTTGGGGACCAAAATGATGCTCAACAACAACTGTGGGGAGCAGCCAGACATACAAGTGCTAAGCAATATAAAACCCCCTTTATAAATGCAGGGATGTCCTCGGAGCTTAGAGCAAGGTGCTTGAATTGCCCAAGAGCCTGGAAGTTCCATGTTTTACAGTATGCATATATTTATATATATACACACTTCCTATTGTCCCATATACCCCCCAAGGCCCCATAACCCTTCCTGAATCCCCTACCACCCCTCCAATCCCTCAATATCCTCCTAGACCCCCCCATAGCTCCTCCAGACACCGAATACCCACCATAAGACCCCCTATAGCCCCTATTAAGAACCCCCATTGCTCCCTTTAGCCTCTATTCATATATATATGTATAATGTAAAACATTTAACTTCCAGTAAATTCAAGTATGTAAGCCCTGACTCCACTGGATATGTCACGCCATTAAAGGTACAATAACGACACATCTTTTTAATGCCACATTTAATTTACAAAACGGGGGGAAGGCGGCGCGACAGCCGCCCACGCCCGCACCAGCTCGTCTGGGCAGCACAGACAGGGCCCCGCAGACCCTCCCCGGCTCGGGAG